AAATTAAAGTAAAGATCAGTAGCCCCGTGGAACTAACCGTGGTGCACCCGCCTTGAAACAGCGGGACCCGGTGGATACAGCTAGTCGGGTTCGCAAAGCGACACCCGGAAATCACGGTTAAAAAAAAAAAAAAAAAAAGTAAAGATCAGTTAAATGTAACATCATTTTCATTAAGAAAATTGGACCCATTATTACAACAATTATATGAGTGGTCAGACATGTCAGCTTTACGATGGAAAATTTGGTGGATCGTATAATTGTTAGTTTTTTTTTCTATTTATTTTATCGATTTGGTGCGATTTATAGATTTAAAAAAAAATTTATCATCAGAATAAGAAGATGATTTATTTCATAATATTGATTTTCAACAAAAATATTTCACTTGAAACCAAACAAAGTAGCTGGTATGTTGTGGCAACATGTCACACATAACGGAATTAAAATTTTAAGTTTATGAAACTTGGATTTAAAAAAAAAAATGGTTTACTGAATTTTGAATAAATTATTTATACATTTTAATTGAAACTTTAAATACAAATCTAAGATTTAAACTAAATTACTAAATTCTGCTGAATATATAAGTAAAACTGTAACTCCGTCTGATCCGCGATGCCATGTTGTGTACTTCAAAGCCACAAATATTTATAGTGGAAATACATATTTACTCAAAACCATGTGTGTACGCCTAACCATGTCTAGATAATATGTCTTCACACCTAAATTTTGGTCACTTATATATATTGTTGAAAGCGAATTCGATAGAGAATTCAATAGTTCTTGTTTAAACTGCGTATTTATCTTAAAGAATTTATTTAATATATATTCAAAATCAATTGGATTAAAATTTTGAATCTATAAACTTCAAATTCTGATCCGATCAACGTCAAAAGTGGTTTGATTTCATGGACATGACCACCAACTTTTTTTCTTTTCAATCTCTCCATGTGATATATGATAAGGGAGTAGGCCAGTGTTTGTCCATAATTATATTGCGATCCATTACACTAAAGAATTTGTGGCCACATTGTCAATATATATATAATAAAATAAATATTACTTACTTTTGGTTGAGTTACCAATAAGAGAATCAATTTTAATGGTGTCCATTTGACATGATGTGTCTATAACATGTAATGGACCAACTATAAAAGGGACACATATTAATGTGATAGCAAAATTATTTTAAGAGTTGTGGAAAAATGTTACATATTTTCTTCAATCTTTAATTACCTATAAGTATACAGACGTCCTAAGTGGTAAATACATGTAGGATACCATGTAAGATGTTATATAGGGGTGACTTAACACCTAGGACGCCAAGTAGAATGTGCGTGTCTACTTGTTCAATTCTACACAAGTTTAAGTGTCTATTTGTGTACACTCAAAGTTGGAGGGCATAAATGTCAGATGAGGCCAAGTTAAAGAGCACGTTTATGTATTATGCCTTAATTACTTATATATCACAGGTTCAACTTTTGGTATGCACAAACAAGCACTTCAACTTGTCTAAAGTTATTGAACAAGTAGACTCACATATCTTACGTGGAAAATATATGTAAGATGTCATGTAGTGCGTGAATTGCCACGTAGGACGCCAAGTATGACGTGCGTGTCTAGTGCTTGTTCAACTTTATACAAGTTTAAATGCCTACTAGTGCACACCTAAAATTGGATAACATAAATGTCAGATGAGGCCAAGTTAAAGAAGACATTTATGTATTATATGTCTTTCCTATAGATCAATGATTCAAACTATGATATCAAGCAACCACTAATACTTGCATTAAATTAGACTATCTACATGATCGATCACATTTCTTGGGCTATCTATATGTTCTATGTGGCAAATACATGTAGGTTGCCACGTAAGATGTTGTGTAGGGCGTGAATTGACACATAAAACGCCAAGTACGATGTATTGTCTATTTGTTCCACTCTATACAAGTTTAAGTGTCTACTTGTGCATATCCACAGTTGAGGGAATAAATGTCAGATGAAGTCAAGTTAAAGAATATATTTATGTATTATGTCTTACCTATAGATGACATGTTCAACTTTGGATATGAATAAATAGACACTTAAAGTTGTCTAAAATTGAACAAGTAGACACACAAGTCCTATGCGAAAAATACACGTAGGACACCACGTAGGATGTCGTGTCGGGCGTGAATTGCCACGTAGGATGTCAAGTATGATATGTGTGTCTTTGTCCAATTCTATATATAGACAAGTTTAAGTGCACCTACTTGTGCACACCCAAAATTAGAAGACATAAATGTCATACTAAGTTAAAGGGCACGTTTATATATTATGCCTTATCTATATATCACAAATTCAAACTGTGATAGTAAGCAACTGCTAACACTTGCGTTAGATTAGACTTTCTACATGATCACATTTCTTAAGGTATAACCCTTCTCCAAATTCCAGTAACACGAAATACTTTATGCACTGAACTATAGTTACACCCTTTTATTAGTTCTGGGATATGCAATAATGAAAAAGCAATTAACACAAGTATACCATACTTGTTACAATTGAGTTGAAAAGGATGGTCACTTTACATATATAAAAATGTCAAATATAATATTAAAGTGAGTATCAAATTGACAAGAGGGGGTATAACAAGCAAAGTTTTGGCCTTTTGGGGATAGATGAATTGAACCAATTATAATAGTGAAAAAAAAAGTAAGATAAAAAGGCATAAAGGAAATTGATGTTGATATTCCATGTGATAATCAGAGAGGCACATGCAAAATCCCACACTTAGAAGAAAAAAAGAAAACACCTTTTTTATCTTTTTTTTTTTTTCCTTCTTGAACCCAAGAAATTAATTAATTGGGGGTCCAACCATATAGTATACATATATATATCCTTATCTTATCACTTTCCAACTTCTTTTTAATAAATATTTTTATTACATCAAATATTTGGTTTATACCAACTATAGGGTTATGATAGATTATAAATAAGATTTTTTATTCTGATCAGAAATTTTGAATTCAAATTTCAAATATGAAAGATATTTTGTCGGAGAGGGTTTTTTCTTTAAGTAAATCTTATATAATGAGGATTTAAATAAATAAAAATTTCACTACGTGTATTATATGTTAAATGAGAAACAAAAAGAAAGACATAGTTTATAGCTATGGAGTGTTTTGGTTTATGTATTCAAAAATTAGATCTCCCTTTATGTGAATTTCTTATGGTCCGTTAATATAAAGATGAATTCAAAATTTAGATCATCCGAAATCATAAGGAGATTTAATTTTTTTTCTTTGTGTATTTACTTTTGATATTTTTTGAATTTTCTGATTGAAAATCCTGAGTTCATTATCAAGTTTTATTACGATATTTATTGGTCTAAATTACTCCTTATGTTTCCTTGGTGAACCATTACTTAGTATTAAATATCTTAGACCAAAAATCCTACTATTTTAGCAGTAGAATGACAATTATTTATATGTCGGCAAAATTTTATATAACTTCATTTCTATAAAATAAAAAATAGTAGTAATACTCCTATAAACCTAGTTTTTTAAATAATTAATGAATAAAGTAAGTTCTTTACTATTTGTACATGTACTTTATTCTTTTTGTATAAAATGAAACATAGTAATTTGTTTGAATTGAGAAGACCATACTATGATGTTTCCTTCCATTCAATCTTTTCATAATAATAGTTTTATTTTTTTTTTCAATTTGTTTGAATTGAGAAGACCATACTATGATGTTTCCTTCCATTCAATCTTTTCATAATAATAGTTTTATTTTTTTTTCAATTTCCTTATTACGATACCATACTATGATATCTTCTAAATATGTTATTATTATTGTTATATTAATATCAATAAAAAATTCTTTTATTTATTAATATCGCATATGTTTGTTCGCAATTTCAAATAATATTATTTAACTATGCAAAAAAGATATATAAAGACACCCAATAAGATATTATTTATGTAATAAAAAAATCTAAAGAACAACTTATCCAAAGAATATGTCCATGAAAGTTCAAGAGCCCCCTTTTTCTTTTATTTATTTATAATATTATTTGTTTCGACTTAGGTTCTATTTATTTTCATTTAATAAAATTATAAAATTTAATCATTCATATCTCAATATTGCTTATATGTTGATTGTTTTAAATTATGTAGATCCTTTAAACCATTAAAATGTTTATGTAATAATCATGTGAAGGTAACCTTTTATCATTAGATTAAATCTGTCCATTATCATTGTACAATTATTATGACCGTAAATCACTAACACATATTTATCACTATCAATCGTTATTATCAACAAACACCTACTCCATCAACCTTCATTGCAATATTATATATCATCGTCAATTAATATGACCAATCACCATTCTAGCCACACTATCACCAACCTTCATCGTACAATAGCTATGAGCAATTACCTTTATTAATTGCCCATTATAATTGTACAACTCTCAACTCTAGAGTACACCACTCTATAATCACTATTTCCAGCTCACATTCATCAACCACAATTTCAATATCTAGCACCTCACAATAATCAATGTTAACCATGATCATTATCACTAATATTAACGTGTATTTAATTTACAAATAAAATCAATCTTTTACAATAATACCAAATAAATTAATATTTTTACAATTTTTCGTGGATATAATATTTTTTAAAATTTATAAATCTTTAAAATAAAATAAATTACTAAAAAACAAAAAACAAAATGGGGCCATAACCAACTAGGAGCCATGTCTTTCATTCCCCACTCAAAAAAAAAAAAGATCCCCATTGCAACCTAACCAACAATAAGCCTTTTCCTAACTTCTCTTATATCCTTTTCTCTCCAAACCTCACATATTTCTTTATAAAAAAGAATTCCACCATTCCTTGATTTGTATATGTCATTCTTACGTACATATCATGCCAATCTCTTCTGTATCGTAAGCCATCAACCCCATATTCCTTTATAAATAACAAAATAAATATCAAAATCATTGTTCTCTCTCTCTCTCATTTCCCTCTCATTCAACAAGAATGGCCTTTCGATTCAAGAATCAAAACCCTAAATCATCTTCTATATACTCTAGTAGCCCTTTCAACCAAATCGAAACCCCTCCTTTACTTTCATTACTCCAACGTACCACAAATCATTCGACAACAACAACAACAACGACGACGACTAATCCTTCTAACACCAACCCTAAAAAATCAAGAAAATCATCTACTAGTACAAGTGGTGGCATTCTTAAAATGTTCAAACTCCTTCCTATGTTAACAACCGGTTGCAAAATGGTTGCATTACTAGGTGGACGTCCAAGAAACAAACCAATGTTAACAGATAAAGCTACAACAATTACATTATTTGGTTACAAAAAAGGTAGAGTAAGTCTAGCAATCCAAGAAGATCCTCATAGACTTCCCATTTTCGTGATCGAGCTACCGATGCTTACCGGGGTTTTTCATAAGGAAATGGGATCAGATATAGTAAGATTGGCATTAGAAAGTGAAACTAAGACACATAAAAAGAAAGTGTTAGAGGAATTTGTATGGGGTGTTTATTGTAATGGAAGAAAATTTGGTTATTCAATAAGAAGGAATAATAAAAATATGAGTGATGATGAAGCTCATGTTATGCAATTATTAAGAGGTGTTTCAATGGGTGCTGGAGTTTTACCTTGTCCAATATTAGTACATGATAGTAATAATAATAATAATAATGTTGATGGAGAAATAACTTATATGAGGGCAAGATTTGATAGGGTTGTTGGATCAAAAGATTCAGAAACATTTTATATGATTAATCCTGATGGTGCATCTAGTCAAGAATTGAGTATTTTCTTTGTAAGACTTCATTGATCAAGACGTCTCGAGTTTGAGTACTCCAGAAAAAGTATATATATATACATGTAAGAATTTCTTATATTGGTGTTCTCAATGGGTGATTTGATTTTTTAAAATATATATACTTCTGAAGTTGAGTCAGACTCAATAATGTATATTTCTTCATATGATATTAGAGTCGGACCCCTCCTGTAGGGTCGTTCATCATAGTAATTATGTTGTCTATATGGGGACGTACGAGGATGTTAGAATTTCGTTTTCAATGGGAGATTTGATTATTCCTTTAATGGTTTAGGGGAATCTTCACTTAGTTTCAGAGCTGGCTTTCGAAGTTGAGTTATGTAAATGTTTATTTTTTTTGCAACGTGGACCTATTCGGTACGAGTCCAAATTAATTGAAAGTAAAGATAAAAACATAAAGGGAAAGGTATATATTTTTCCCTTCATTTTGTTTCTAGAGTAGTTATTGAATACAAGGTGATACTAATTAGTTTGACTTGTCATATGGATTTTTTTTCAATTTTTATATTTAACGTGTATAAATAATAGATGATGAATTTCCTTTATAAATTTTTTGTCTCCGCCACTATTCGAACAACATGGACTAGTTCCACAAACATAAGCAACCGCCTGCTTTTTTGTTTTTGATTTTGTTTTTCTGTTTTGTTTGATTTTGTGTGTCTTTTTTTTTAAAATTTTAAAAAGAAATAAATGAATTATTTTCCTCTGTTTTATGTGCTCAAAATTGCCAGTGAATTAATAATTCTGCAAATTTGAATTATTGCAAACATGTTTATTGATACTAATTTAATACCGGCCAAGGTGCTTATAATAATTAATAATATGCAATATTTTTGTGTATGTGTCTCCAAAGCTACTAAGTAAATATATAAAATCGGTTCGTAGATGCGTAAAGCAACTAAGTCAGGTCCGGCGCCAATGCCATCACTCTGTCATCTCCATACTCATCTCACCGCACTATTAGTTTTGATATCAATTATTGGACGAAAACAACCTAAAGCTACTCTTTTTGGGGAAAAAAATAGCGGTTCGACTTAAAATGGATAATATTACTATTGGTTTGGATATCAGTTGTGGGCTAAAACAATCCAAAGCTGCTCTTAACATGACATGAGGCCTTTTGAAGAAAATCGTGCTGCTTGACTTAAAGTGGACAATATCACATCAAGTGAAGTTTATCTTTTAGTTCCACATCATTCATAATTTTATTCAACTCGAAATCAATCAGAAAAATGAAACAAGATTAATAAATATTTGTACTAACTTGCAATATTTATAGTAAATTTCATCTTTCATGATTCAATTTCCAGTCTATAAAAGCCATTAATAGCTCAAAAAACATCAATTTTCACAAAAATATATAGTCAAATGTACACAGGATACAATAGTGCAACTACTATGTGCCCTTTAGTCTCTAACTAATGTAATATGTACAAAAGTCTGACACTCCAGCTTAAGTTAAGAAGTTCCATATCGTCAAAAACACAGGTGAGACATTGGGTATAGAAGTAACTAGGTCTTACACACTAGTGACACGTTTTAAAGCCGTGCGGATCTAGGTCCAGAGCAGACAATATCACCTGCCGTTTATATGTACTTATATTTTCTTGCATTTGAAAACATAAACACTTCTATTTTCAGTTCCAAGGAGAGAAAATACTATTTGAGGACTTGGCTGGTGCAAATGTACTAGGGTTCAGCTCCGGTGAAGAAATACAAGGAAGTATCTCGAGTGTAGAACGAGGAGAGTGGTGAGAAGTTGCTCCATAATCGCATGTTACAGAATGTGATTGGTAGCTTGTTTCACTGAAACATGAACACAAGTTTCCCTTTGTTGTGTAAGACAATTATAATGGTCAATGGTTAACTCAAAACCAATTAATTGGAACGATCGATGATTTCATTGACTAAAGAGTACTCTTGAAATGAACCAAACATTCACGAAAGTAAAGAAAAGGGCTCGAAAAATCACTAGTACCCGTTATGTGGAGATTTTGTGTGCCTAGATGAATTCGATTCCATGTTATGGTTTGTCAGATCCTTTGGACTCTGCAAAATGTCGTAAAAAAGGTAATGAATTGAAAGTTGAAACAACTCGAGAACAGAACAGAGAAACAGAAACAGACGAGAAATCAATAGCATTATGTTAAGCATTAATATGCTTGTAGTACTCACATGTAATTTCATCCGCGAAAAATCTTCTGAGGAACCTGAAACAGTAGCACTATGTTCACGCGAATTAGTATTACTTAAAAAAGAATGCTCAAGTAGCATCAAAGCTGTTGGTCTATCTGCAGGTTTCCTCTGAAAGCAGCACCGGAGGAAATCCTTTCCTTCCGAAGACAACGTTTCTGGTATAGGTGGTGATTTGTTTAGTGCACTGAACATAGCTTTCACCTAAAAAATGAAATACGCGATTGTTTACACATCACATTTGGAATCACAAAAATATTGGCCATGATTTTGTCTTGCTTGTTCCTTTTCAGCTATGCTTCTCGGACTCTTCAAAAACAGTGTGGGGTGCATGTCGGATCCTTCAAAAATAGTGCATTAGCATTTTTGGAGAGTCCGAGAAACATAGCTTCTTAGGCATTGATGCTAGTATGTGTCAACGTGATGGGCTCAAAGTTTATTAATGCGGCTTACCCCGTCTAATCCACTCCAAGGGGGCTGTCCAGTAAACATTTCAATTACAGTACAACCTAGACTCCAAATATCAATAGCACAGGCAAGCTCTGGATTGGCATCTTTCCGTAACATAGCCTGCATTACCTGCACGAGACGAAAAAAAGAAAACCTTAAGAACAAGCAAAAGCAAACAGCTCGCCAGTATTAGAAAGCAGCTTCCAGATACCTCTGGAGCCATCCAGTGTGGACTCCCTTTCAGAGATAGCTCAGTTGCATGACCCGACAGCTGAAAAAAGGGAAGCATAATCATATTACTGCAGTAATGCTAGATGATTCTGTTTTATCAAGTAAAGTATAGCCATACGTTACTTGATGCAATCGTTCAACTTTATCAAGTATAAAGTTCATTCTACACGAGAAATGAAATTGGCCGAGGACAACAGAATTGAATGATTGCATCAAGTAACGTATTCAGTCACACATCTTAGTTTCCCCCCTTTTACAGTTCACTTCTGTCATAAGGGAAAGGAAGGAGGTGCAGTACTTCGTGATCATCGAGCCATGCTAAGATTACTCTATCACGTGTACTTGTATTACTTTGGAGTAGAAAAAGGTTTTTGCTTTTTTACGTTCCTAAAGGATCCGGTCTCCCCAGTAGCAATTATACCTCATCCAAAATGATTAATGCTGGAGAGAGGGAAAGCAGTATAAATAGGAAAGCATTCAAAATTGGCAACCTTAATAGCTGAAACATATAACTCATTTCATATTACACGGAATAGTATGCAAGAGAACTCAAAAACGTTAAAAAAACGTAACGAAAGAGATTAGCATATTCTATTAAGCTTTAGAAATTTCCGAGCATACATGTTTTGCTAATCCAAAGTCTGCAAGCTTGACGATTCCCGATGCATCAACAAGCAAATTCGCCCCCTTTATGTCCCTATTAAGGGAAACCATCCCAGCCATAAGAGTTAAGAGTCATATCAGCTAACCAGATAAAGCATTCATTTTAGTCAATAATATAATTTAATGAAATTCCTCAATCATATACTAAAGACAAAGCAAAAATTGAGACAAATTGAATCGTCGATATATAAACTTTAGTAGCCTGTAAATGGATCATTAAATCAACTAACATTACGACCATCCTTAAAACAGGTAATTTACCTGTGTATCGTCTTAGTGCTGTGCAAGTAAGCCAGCCCTGATACTATATGTCTTGTAAAATTTCGAACTATCGACTCTGTCATAGCTCCACCATGATCCCGGACAAACTTATTAATTGATCCTGGATGAACATATTCCAGATATATGCAAAAACTATCTTCCATCTGAACATCCAACAGCACTTTATCCATCAAAATGTTCGAAAAAGAGATGTTCAAATAGTTGGTATAAAATTGTTCGAAAGAAGATGTTCTTACTATTTCACTGCCGTAATATTGAACAATATTTTGGTGCTTCAACTGTCGGAGAACTCGTATTTCCTAAGACAAAATCAAAAAGAAAATGTATATTAACTAAATATGTTTCTTTATAATCTATCTCATAGCATAAACTGATGAAAAACACTTAATAGCTGTTCTTGTATCCTATAAGCAGGACATTAGGACTAACCTGTTCTAGCTGCTTTATACATTCGGCAGATTTAGGATCATCTGGATTGAGATCAACTTCTTTCATCGCACACAAAGCACCGGTTTCACTATAAGAGGAGAAATGAAACGTTACATCGACAGCTAAAGTAGGAACTACCAAAATGCTAGCTTTAATACTTACCGGTTAGTAGCTTCATATACACTTCCATAAGTACCACGGCCTAAAAGTTTCCCCTTTTGCCATTGGCCTTTTACATATGGTATATCTGGTTTATCCGTATTGTTTTGAGTGGTAGGTAACTGTGGCTGTTGTGAAACTCCGGGTGGAAGTGGTAGAGGGTGCACATTATTGCCTTCAGGCCAATCCACAGGACTTTCCGGGAGTGATTTTTGATGTGAATGCACAGCAACATTTTGGTGATTCCAAGTTTTGTTTACTGGATTCTGTTGAGTCGGGCTACTAAGGGGAGAATGATCAGCACTTTGTGTAACCCTTGCTGTCAAAAGTTGGGCAGAATAACCTACCCATCTATCCGAAGAAGTGGCTGAAGGTGATGATCCCTGATGAAATGTAGGATGGAAAAGGTCTACCGTGCTATATCCTTTCGGGCTAAGATTCGGACTTGTAAAACCACTGCCTGGAGCACTTCTAGCAGGGACATTAAGCCTGAAGTTCTCTTCAACACCTTCAGAATTCTTATCCTGACTGAAACGTCGACGACGATAAGTTGGAGTAGATGATCTTCTATGCACAGGATTTGCCATCTCCACTGGAGTTTGATGAGAAGG